CCCCTCTGCTCCCTGGAAAAGCATATCAGGGGCAGGCTTCAGGCTTTGTATCCTCTGCCCAACATCCATGAGTTGTAAACCAACGGGGGGGGGGGGAGCAGGGAGAGTGCATGCCAAGACGATTCTGCTACTTGGCTTACTGACTGACTGACTGAATCAAAGAAGAAACTCCAGTCACCTCTGGTTCTATCTGAACTGAAAGAGTCCATCCACACAATCTTTTGTGCAGCAGGAATAAAGCTATATTCCAAAGGAAACCCACTTTACAGTATCTCCAAAGAGATGAAATGCCTTCACGCTCTCACAGCTCTTTAACGCTTGCTATGGGCCAAGTCTCGCAATTAGAATCAGTCACGTTAAGTGCTCCAGTCACATAATGCTAATAGATCACTTTATAATGTGAGCAGTTTTTAAAAGTCGTATTTAATTTTCCATTATTACTGTACTGAATGCCGGTTGTATCTGTCTCGCCCATTACTGATTCTGAAACCTAGTAAAGGGGCAGACTGGTTGATACATTGCTCAATGCCGACTTTAATTCTCACAGATATGAATTGGAACCCTAAAATAGTCCTCGTTGGTGTGATTATTTTGATTTCCAAGCCAAATGATGAAGACTCTTCTCTGTCTCATGGTTATTTTAGCTTGAAAATACAGAGACTGGTGCAAAAAAAAAAAGAGCAGCATGTATGTTCCCCTTGTTGTATGTGCATAAGCACATGGGTGTGTGGTTTTCTTTAAGAAAATGAAATGAACCAGAAAATAAGCCCTTAACAGTAACCCAAGAAATAAAACAAAATCATTTACAACACATGGGATTGTTTCAGGATATGTCCAGATTACATGGTTTAAGGGAACTATCCTGAATGTGGTAGCAATTATAAGGAAATTCATGACTCATTAGCAAACATTCCATATTGTGTTTCTCATTTCTGGGTCAATGTTACTAGTAAATATAGACTTAAGATTTTGCTGTTTCCTTGGCTTCAGTGCTAGATTATAGATAGTTGGACCATACAAGACAGAAAGCAAAAGGATTGTGTTTTTGAAGCTCTTTATCCTTCATGTGTACCTAATTTGGTCCTAAAGGTAAGTGAGGGGAAAAAAGAGCTTGCAAACTGAAACAGGAAACGTGGAGTCGGTGACAGAAGAGTCGTCTGTAAATGTAAAGTAAGAATTACACGGTGCAAATGTGTACTGTGGATGTCTGTGGGGACTTTGTGTGCACCCTGCTTAGTATGCAAAATGGCTGGTGAACTCAAGTACCCAATACTGTATGTAATGGGATCCAGATGTCTAACAGAGAGAGAAAAATATTTTATAGCAATAAATGTGACATTGACTCTTAAAAGCTTTGCCGTTTCGAGAAACAACTTCCCAGTCTTCCTTTTCCTTACATTTCAAAGTAGTTTTGAGTAGATTGTTTAAGGAAATTATTTTCATATTTTGAAATAAAAAGTATCTAACTTGCCACTAACTCCCAAGCTCCATACATAAGGAGGAATGATCTGGAAAAAATAATTTTGAAATTTATTCATTTACCAAAGCACTGGATTCAACCATGCTATTTATAACATATATGTAAACATGTGTGTGTATATATATGTGTGTTATATATATATATACATATATGTATATACACATGGATAAATAAAGCATAATTCCTCCTGCCCCTAAAGAACTTAAAGTACACTATATGCCAGACAATTCACGCAGCTGTTAAGGGGCATAGCACAAGCCCTGAGAAAGAGGCATAAAGTATCCAGGAATCCAAGGAAGGCAACTCTGTGGCTAGAGGCTCCATGGAAAGGCTCTCACTGGTCCATGATGCCAGGATTTTCGACTTCAAGACCCTGCTCCAATTGTGCACTGAAGCTGCCTTGGGGGAGAACCACCTGCTGTCTTGCATGGCCATGGCAATTGCTTCTAAGCACTCTGCTCTTCTGGCATCCCTCCAATGGCTCCCAGTGTTGCTCCAAATGTGCCTTGGGAACCGATCTGAAGCCCTTTAAGCATAGCATCCTAGTATCGATGTTATAAACTCTGTAGTTAGCAAAGCCTGGCATCCCCTTCCCACTTTCTCATTTAAGGGTTGTGGGTGGTCTGTGAACCCATTTCTCTCACCTGCGTCATCTCGTCAAAGTCACCTAAGCTGCGTGCCTTTAGCTAGATCCTGCACACACGCGTATGTTGTGTATAATACACGCGCCCTGTGAAAGACTCATAGCTGCTATCCTATCAGCCATCCAGTAAAAGCCCATGCTGTCACAGTCTCCTTACTGTTGTTCAAGGGCCCTTCTGTGTTTAAGCCTATCCCTTTCAAATTGCTATTCACCCCATATGCTTCCTCTCCGGCAAAACCTCCTGAGCCTTCCCTGACACCTTGTCAAAGAACAGGGGCCTCTCCCCTAAGCTCTGGCTGCAGCTCATATACAACCAGCAGAAATTGATAAGGCAGTGTAGGGTAAGACAACAGAGGGTAGTAGGGACAATGGTTTAAAATAACAAAGAAAAACTCCCTCATTGCCTAAAATGTCAAGCCCTCTTCACTACCCATACACCTCTGACTGCTATCCCGTTCTCGATATTGCCAATTCTTCCATTTCTCCAAAGACAGAAATCTCTGCCTAAATTTCCTGTTAGTCATTGTTGGAGAAAAAAAAACAAATGCTATCACTTTGAAACAAATACAAAACTCAGGGGCTAATGGACTAATGGCAGGCTTTCTTAAAGATGCATGGCTCATCGTGGTGCGATTCCTGCCCCCTGTAGCTGTTTGTGTCGCTACTTTTCCAATACTCTCTGCTCCTTGAGGACCAGGGGCATGCAGGGAGCCTTTTCCTTCCCCTGAGTGCAGTGCAGGCCTCAAGAAGCAGTCCACAAATCAGGAATGGTGGTACACACCCTTAATCCCAGCACTGACAGGCAGAGGCAGGCAAATCTCTGAGAGTTTGAGGCCAGCCTGGACTATATACAGCAAGTTTCAGGCTTCATGATCAAATGCTGTCTTTAAAAAAAAAACAAGCTTAAATGAATAAAAGAAATAAAAGCAGCTTATTAAGTCCCAAAACCGTGCTCTCCCAGGGTCTGCACGTAACTCCAGACACAACAAAGAACAAAAATATTTGTGTTCCAAATGGTCCTATTTCTCAGAACATTTTATAAAGTCTAAGGTGTTTATAGATATCATCAAAACTTAATCACTATCTGACTTCTTTAGAACCATCTGGAATTTTTCACACAATGGCTGCAAAGCCCCCTCTGTGGTTAGCCACCTGGGAGTCACCTCCAAATGCAAATCTCATCCATAGGCCTTGTTTGTCTATAAGCTTAATATATACCTGACATAGAAGTGAACAGCCGAATGGTTTTAAATTTCACCTGAAAGAGTGCCATGGGTCAGATATGATAGCATTTTCGTTTTGTTGGAAGTTGAGTGTAGATCACATCATGCCACAGGCATGGAAGGAAATGCACTGTCTCTAAAGCCACAAGAAGGGTAAATATAAGGATGGCAAGGACTGGGAGAGTGGGCACTTCAAGGGGGTCACAGGCAGCATGATGGTGGCTGTCTCAGTTAGGGTTTTATTACTGGGTAGAAACACCATGACCATGGCAACTCTTACAAAGGAAAACATTTAATTGGGGCTGCCTTACAGTTTCAGTCCATTATCAGAATGGCAGGAAACATGGTGGCCTATAGACAGACATGATGCTGGAGAAGGAGCTGAAAGTTGCACATCTGCATTGACAGGCAGCAGGAAGTGAATGTCTGTCACATTGGACCTGGTTTGAGTATTTAAGACCTCAAAGCCTGCCCCCTAGTGACACACTTCCTCCAACAAAGCCACACCTACTCCAACAAGGCCACACCTCCTAGTAGTGCCACTGCCTATGGTCCAAGCATTCACACACATGAGTCTATGGGGACCATTCACACTCACAATGGCCATGGTTATGAATTTTTCATGCTCATGATCTCTGGTACAGTATTTCAATTTGGGGGCACTTGGCCTAAGGAGGGATAATGCATAAATAAATGTTCAGCTGTGAAGTTATTGTTACGGTAGTGTTGGAAATAAAAGGAGCTGAGGAAGGGCTTGTGAACTCAGCACCAGAGCTCAAGATGCTCACATTAAGTGCATCCCCTCTGCCCTCAAAGCATCAGGAATTCACAGTATTTGTCCTACCACACTGAAAATTATAATCTGAAAGAATATATGATGTACAGAAAAGTTCTAGCGTCTTATTCACTGCAAAGGCAGTTTATAAAAAGCAACCATCTTGGGCAGGCATTGTTAGATAGAAATGTCGGAATCCTGTAGACGCTGCTCAAGGACAGAAGCAAGATAAGGATGCAAGGCCACTTGAGAAAAGTCATTGGGAACCCTGGTGCCAGGTGTAAGGAGTTCTTGCTCCTTAAACTTTCCCTGCGTATCTCACTGTCTTCTTCAGGCTCTCCTGCAAACTACCGTCTCCAGCAAAGCTATAAATTTCCAGGCACAGTGACTAATTCTACCTCTGTGAGATATCACAGGTCCAGTCTCAGATACTAGCTGATTTAATCTCAAGGTAAAAGCAGACACACGCCCAGTCAGGGCCAGATAACTAACCCTATTCCAATCAGCTGGGGCCTGGCACTGGCGTTCCAAAGAACTGGTTCTACAAGCTAGCAAGTGACACAAAAGAAAGCATTTCCCATCTAAGTGGTGCCGGGTTTTGTCTATAAAAGTCATCATGTGGAGAGGGGAATGTTGAGAGGGCCCCACATCAAAGGGTAGTAAGGGTGCATATAAATATAATACTTGCTTTTCCGTGTGTCCTGAATTTTCCACAGTGGATATGTGTGGCTTTGTACTAAGAGAAAAGAAACCCAGCCTCCATTAGGATTAAAGGTGAATTCCACACTGGCTGGTATTTAGAAGCTAAAGTCCAGATGAGAAGTGCTTTTTAGTGATGATGGGATGGAGCTAGAACAAAGATAGAACAGAGAATCTCACCTGGAAGTCCTGGGATTGGAGTAAGCCCTCTGCAGGGAGGTGTCAAAGCTGAATCTGGAGGAGATGCTGGGCACTGTGCATCCTGGGACCTGATGTCCTGTGATTGGCAGGCCACTAGCTGCTAGGTTAAGACAGACCAAAGCAGAGAGGAAAAGCATGAGACACGAGGAAAACAAGACAGGATTCTACAGGACAAGAAACAGGGGCCGTTAAGGGAGAAAGCAAAATAAAAGTAGGTGTTGCAAGCAAGGAGCTTGAGGAATGAGGCTTGAGAGGGCAGGGAGATGCTTACTCTTCTTCAGTAAGTAGGGAGAGTGACAGAAGGTTAACCCGTCATATATACAAAGGACAGAGTCTCTGCCTCGGGACACTCAGGGACAGGGAAGAGTTCTACAGGCAGAGCCCAATAATGTCATCAAAACCAAGAACAGCTGTTGGACGCAGGTGCGGCAGGGCAGGAAGGCCCATAACAAACAGGAATGTTATTGCAAGCAAGCATGCAGGCCCGAGCAAGCACACTAGACCTTAAAGACGCTAGCCACGATGTTGCTGTGTCTTTCAATCAGCCTTCAGGTCTCTCCAATGGTTAGGCCACAGGCTTTCCTTTTGGCTTTCTGCCTGTGACTTCTATGTGTGCAAAGTTTGTTTTATTTTTTGAGTCAGAGTCTTGCTATATATAGCCCAGGCTGGCTGCAGACTCGAAAGATTCACCTGTCTCAGTCACACACACACACACACACACACACACACACACACACACACACACACACACACACACCATGCTGGGATTACAGGTGTGCACCACAACGCACAGCCCTTCCAGGAATCATTTTATACCTTCATATACTCATCTGCTGCCTCACAGCCCCAGCCAGTGGATATTTTACTCCATTCCACTTTACACACAGGATTACTTTTGTTTTCTTTGCTGTGCTAGGGTCTCCTGTATGTTGGGCAAGTGTTGTACTGTTGAACTACATTACTAGTCCTTTCCTTTCCTTTGATAGTTCCAACTAGATGCATTCTATGAGAGGTTTGGATGTGGAAGAAGCCGACATCATGATGAGGTATCTTAAAAGTATTAAGATTTTTACACTTTGAAACTCCAGAGAAACATTTCAGGGTCAGCCTCCTGACCCTGGGCTGACCTTGTGACTAGAGAACCAATAGAGTATGTGACTCAGCTACAGCCAGGGCGTGACTAAGTTTCTACCTTGTCTTGGGACATTCATTTTTGGAACACCAAGCAGCTGAAAGAAGCATAGTAATGAGATGGCAATGAGGTTCAGGCTGCACAGAATGGCCTTGCTCAGGTGTCCCACCAGACACCCCAGGCTGAGGGTGCAGCAATAGGCTGGACAGCATCAAGCCCCAGAAGGGCAACAGTAAGCCACCCTCAGCTACTTGCCAGCCTAAAGCTCAAGAAAGCCTTTGACAGCACCCAGGTCATCCCAGTTGACACCCATAATTGTGACTGATCATGATACATTGATGGCTGTGTTTTTATATTAGTAAGTTTTTAGGGTGACATGCCATGCAGAAAGGTAATGGGACCAGACATACTTGGTTCTCAGTGAAGATTTATTAAACTTATTTCAATAGCAAGCAAAGGAAGGCAATGTTGTCTTTAACTTTTTCTTCATTTTGGTCTCCTACTGTATTTCGTTATATCTATCTGTCTGTCTATCTATCCAACTAGAGATCTAGGTCTCTCTTCATACATATATAAAAGACTTGTGTTTTCTTGTGTAAGTGTGTGCACAGTGAAATTCAACTGAAAAAATTGTAGCTGATCACATTTCCTTGTTCTCTGCAGACTTTATTCCTTCTCTCTGTAGTGTCTTTGAATCTTCTGTGTACTTTTTAGGTCATAAAACTAGGAACAAGATACTCTACCCCATGATGCTCTTGGCTCTGAGGTCACCTCATCTGGAAGGCACTGTTATTTTTGGCCTCTTTCAGTCCATCTTGTTGCTGTTCCACCCATCTGGAGCGCGAGCTCCCACTCCCTTCCTTGGGCAGTCCAGGAGGTCTGTAGATAGCAGCTGCATCAGAAGCCTGGGGAAGAGAGCAAGCAGGGTGGTCAGAAAAGCCATCATGAAAACACAGCTTCCAGCCAGGCAGTGTAGGTGGCGAGGTGCAGACACTGTGGTCTGGAGACACGCCTGGCTCTAAGTGGGAGTGACTCACACAATGGCGGCCAAGCAACTGATAAAGAATAGAGAATGAAGGACTCACAGAAGCTGGACCATCAATTTTCCTCCATCTTCCATGGGGAGGGGAGTCTGTTCCATCTGTACTGCCTCCAAAGCGTGTTCTGGCGTGCTAACTCCCACAAGCCTGTGCGGCACCTGCCGACAGCCCCTGCACAAGAACACAAAATTCTAGATGAACGCTGACCTCGGTAGAGGAACCCCAGGAACTGCAAACACGCTGCTAAAAGGACGCTATGCAGGGTTGGCTGGTTCCTCTAGCAACAGGCAAAACTGTGTCACCTCAGGTCAAGGAGAAAGCCCTACAGCCCAAAATAGCTGCCCTCTCCTGCTGCCAGAGCATCTAAAATTATACCATTGAAGATTTATTTCTTTGCATACCTCACCTTGGTTAGGGGCAGATCTGGGAAAGGACCCATGAAACGTCTTCACATGAAGGTGCAAAGGGCTTGACAGGCCCTCAGAGTTATCCGGGGCAGGAAAAGGAGGGAAGTGTTGAAAGGCCAGGAACCAGGCAGAGGAAGTGCCAGTGAGGGACAGCAAAAGGGCAACTTCTCCTATTTCATATTTTCACCCAGAAGGAGCCTGGCCGGCAGCTACATCCTAAAACCAAGGTCCAAGCAATTTGCCAGTAAATTCGAACCATGCGTGTAAACAATCCTAATAATTTATTGAGATGCCTTTTTAATGCATGATTATGCGGGACTGCACATGACTCTACTTCAAATTGCCTCAGTGTAGGAGGGTATATTAAGGAGAAATTAAAAAGAATCAGAGAGGCTACACAAGGAAATGGTATGTACCACCATACTGGGATACCGTGGGAGAAAAACTAAAGATAGGTAACCAGGTCAGAGTCTGGTTTCTAGGGAAGTATTCACTCAGAAATCCAGGCAAGGACTCTGCCTTTATATGTAGAAGTTTGGATAACCTGACCCTAAAAGACTAAGCAGTAAACAATCACTATTTGAAATCTACCTCCAGTCCACTGTATCAACAAGTAAGAAACCCTTATTACATTGACACGGAGCACAGGAAGATGAGTCCACCCTACCCTAAGCTGGCTCTGAGGGAGCGCACTGCCAGGATGGTGGGCTTTCAGTAGAGGAAGGAGTTAAATAGGAAACAGAGAAAACAAGGAAAGGAGAAAAGGAAGAAAGACCAGATAGTGACTGCAGCTGTGGTTATGGCTGATGGCGCATGCCTGACTTAAATACTGTCTAACAACAACCAGTTGCAACAATAACCAAATGTTGGAGTTGCAGGACATAGCTTAGTTGGGAAAGTGTTTGCCCAGAATGAACCAAGTCCTGGATTCAAGCCCCAGCATTGCATAAATGAAAGTGGTGGCACACACCTCTAATCCCGGCACTTGAGAAGCAGATTCACGGTGATCAGGAGTTCAAGGTCATCTTCTGCTATTTAGTGAATCTGAGGCCAGCCTGGATCACACAAGGCCATATCAAGCAAATAATTTTAAAATAAGATAAAAACCAAAGTTCTATAGCATTTGTACCATTTGGAAGTAAAGAACTTCCAGATAATGGTACCTAAATACTCAAATTCCTAAGAGGAGAACTTCTTTCCTATTTTGATGATGAATGCTTTGGGTGAGAGCAATCAGGTGACCTGGCTGGCGTCATCCAGCTGCTTAGCCCACTGTCAGGTCTTACAACTGTACCCTCACTGGCTAAATCCCTTACATTGTCTGCTCCAGCACTGGCATTGGAGAACCGTTCTTCCCAGATCTAGCGAGTCACTCCTTTGTAACTAAGATGACCTCCCTTAACCCTGATTCATTCACATAATCAACAAATAATAAAGACAGAGACACAGTTGCTTCTGGCACTAACTCATCTAATGAAACTCCACACAAATGACTCATAGGTGGCTGTGCCCAACTAACCCCCTTTTCAGAAGAACACTCCCTTCACCCAAGTACCATGAAATCTCATGATGTTAAGCCCCTGCTACTGCATGGTATGGAACTTGATATAATTTATGCATATGGTTGCATGCATGTTAATCATTTGTAGATGGCTTATAATACTTAATACAATGTAAGTACTCTGTGAATAATTATAGTGCTACAGATTGAAGAGAAAAATACAGCAAGAAATGAGGTCTGGTTGAGGGGACATGGAGGACGAGAAGGTCTTTTCCCCTGAATGTCCATCTTCTAAACTTACTCACTAACTTACTGTTCCTTCCCTTTTGAGAAAACTCAGGTCCCTCTGAACAATGGCCCAGTCTTATTCAAAGCTGTCACTCCAAAACTGAAACAGCTCCTACCCAAATAGGTACTGGGTAAATATTTATCTAATAAATCACACTGGATATCAAGGAAAAGCTTGTGGGCCAGCGCCTGTTATGGGTCCTGAGTAGCATAAAACCACTTAGTCAAATCATCTCACTTACTATTATAAGTGGCAAAACAGAAAATAGCGAGAGAAGATGGGGTTTGATAATAGTTCAAAAAGTTCTGGGGAGAAGTAAAGCTTTGTCTTTCTCCTGTACCACTTAAGGCAAGAGCTGGGGCCACATTGGGATGTTAAAAGGCAACCAATTGAAAACGAATAAAGGAAATATTTTTAAAGCAGCGTGTAATGCACCTTTGGAATTCACTGCTGCGGGATATTATTGAGGGAAATAGTCTAGCAAGATTCAAGAAAGGATTAGACATTTATATGAACGGGAATAATATTGGCAGTTACACTAACTAGGTTAAAAAGTTACAAGGCATGTCCGTCCTGGGCTCCAGGGCATAACTGTGCACCAGCTGAAGTGGGGAAGGAATTTCCCCTGTTGGTGGAGCATTCTGTAATTGGCCAGATGCACGAACCTCATATTTTTGCAGCTTTCTACTGTAATGTAGGCAGAGAACACTGCTGAGGGGGAGGCGTCTGGGGTAGATGACGACAGCCCAGTGACCTCTAAACATGACATAAAAAGAACACTCGGAGTCTTTAGGGATTTGCACCTGAGAATTTTCTTTTTCAATTTCAGAAAATGAAAATAGTAAAAATAATTTCCGTCTCCATTTCATGAGACAGAGTCATGGGGCGGCCATAATCTCATCAGAGGCCCAGAGAAGAGAGGAAAGAGGCTGACAGCCACTTCCAAAGCCCTGTGCCTCAGAACCCTCATGGAGCCTCACACATGAGCATCTGCCCCATGTCATATACATGCGCACTTATGACACATGCATTGGACAAAGCCACTTTTCTGTAGGTGTGCCAAGAAAAGCAAGTCTTAATACTGTTCACTAACCCTGACAAGCATTTGTCTGTCAGTCAGTTTTGTGTCACATTAAACAAAACAGGGAAGGGCCAGAGAGCCCACCAACACAGGTGCTGGCCACAGAGCATGGAAGTCTGAGTTTGACCCCTTGAACCCACAGGAGAGAACTGATTCCTGAACATTGTCCTCTAACTACCACATAAACACGGTGGCGTGTGTGTGCATATGTGTGTGTGTGTGATAAAGAAATAGAAATTAAAATTTAAAGCATGATATATTTAAAAGAATTCATTCATAATCATTACTTGACAGCCTTTGGTCATCAAAGAGCAAAATGCATTCTGAAGAAACTATGTCTATGTTTGAAGTGTTAGGAAAAGGAACCCTCTCTCTCTCTCTCTTTCCCTCTCTCTCTCTCTCTCTCTCTCACACACACACACACACACACACACACAGACACACTTGCTGCTGGCAAAACTGAAAGGGAATTTTAACTGAAAAAACCTCTAAACCATCAACGAATCTTAAAGCAAATACATATACCAAAGATGCTGCTGATGTATGTGTTTCTCTGGGGAAAGGGAGCCATAAATTCCATTAATATTTTCAGATAAGTTCTCACACAAAGTAAGTTTTTAAAACCACTGTTTTAGGCCCCAATCCAAGAGAAAAGTCTCAAATGGATCTAGATGCCTTCTTTACAGAGACCTTTGGACCTGCAATGTAAGAGTTGTTTCTTCGGGCCTTCCTTTAACTGGCAGATTATCAATTCGAGTCTCCTAGCTGAAGATCATTCACATTGGGCCTACATCTCACCCAGATGAAAAGCTTTCCACACTGAAGTCTCGCTGCTCCTGGCTACTGGACATTTTGTTAATTAGTTACAGATAAGCCCTTACAAATTCTTCTGTTTTCCCTAGATGTAAGCTTTCCTATAGGTAGCTTCAAAACCATTTTTCAAAGATTCAAGGCCTGGGGTGTAGCTCAAGTTGTAGAAAGCTTGTCTAGCATGCATGAATTCCCCATCCTTGCATAAATTGGGCAGTACACTCACAAAATCCTAGCACTCAGTGGTGGAGGCATGCATGAGAAACCAAAGTTTAGGATAGTCCTTGGCTACATACAGTTTGAGGCCAGCCTTAGACAGAAAAGAAAACCTGGGGGAGAGAGACAGAGAGAGAAACAGAGACAGCAACAGAAAGGAGAAAGGGGATGTATTTGTTTGTTAGTACAGTTCTTGAGTTTTACCAGTGGTCCCTACCACAGCAATACAGGCTCATCCATGACACTACTTTTCATTAAGCAGTAAGGATTAGTATCAATAAAGGAAAAAGAGAATAGAAAATGACAAAGAAAAAAGGAAGAAGAAAGGAAAAATATCAGCTTATTTTAAAGTGTATGTTGGCGTTTGTGTGTTTCCGATCTATGGGGAGGGACGTGTACATCATATAGACTCCCATTCTCAGGCCCCAAGCTGGGTTCCTCCCTGGAGCAATCTCACAACACTGTACCACCCCTCTCAGAAACAGCTCAGGGGTGGGAAGGTGGTTCAGTGGGTAAGAATGCCAGCTGAGTAAGCATGAGGACCTCAGTTCGAATCCCCAGTACACCTGTAAAACTGGCAGGTGTAGCCTTTCCAGCCTGTAATCACTGCCCAGGGCTCCAGGTGGGAGAGGCAGAAAGACGCCTGCAACTTTACATGGAGAATGTAGAAGAGGACCTCTGGCTTTCTCTAGCTGAAGGGTACTCTTCCCCTTCCTCTCCCTCCCTCTCCCTTTCTCTCCCTCCCTCCCTCCACCTCTCTCCCCCATGTCTCTGTTTCTTTCTCTTTCCCTCGCTCCCCCTGCCTCCCATCATACAGTTGCTAACCTTATCAATTCTGGCAGAATGAAGTCAGAGCAGGGAAGGGCAGCCTGCTGGCTTCCTGAGAGATGTTCAATCGTCCCCATGGAAAGTCAGTTGAGTCTACTGTTGACCATCAGTGTGAAGACGGAGCAAGCAGGACCAGTCCTAGGAGAAATGGAACCCGGTGAGACCGACATACAAATATTTTCCTGTGTGGTGGAAGAGGCACAGCCCACGTGTGACCGCGCCCACGTGTGACCGCACCCACGTGTGACCGCAAGCCACGGAGGGTGAAACCCGATGAGACTTATCACCTGAGCCCCCAAAGGGATAATCTGGAGAAGCAGTTGCTTTGTGCAGCTTTTCAAGGGCCTTCACGAATGCCTGGCTTTGTGGGAAGACGATGCAGGAAGGGGAGAAAGCCAAAGGAAGCACTTTGGTCTTCAGTGCGGAATTCATCGCCTGGGAAAGGAGGGAAACTAGACCATGCAGAAATGGAAATCTTCTGATGTGTGGGAATCAAATAAAAGGTTTCTCTCCTCCTATGTACACCACTGCCCTGCTAAGGTGAGGCCTGAACACTCACACACAGTCCACACAGGCATTGTTCTAGAAGAATCCCAGCCTTTCTGCCCATGGACACAAAAACTCTGATTAGAAGCTCCAAGTTGATATGGCTGACCCAGTTCATTCAGTGGCTCCTTTAGGTCCCTCACCATGAAGGACTTGCAGAAAAGGCACAAGTCATAATTAGATTTTTGCAGATGATATAGTAACAGTCTCCGAATCAGGTGCTGGCTAACAGCTTGTCAGGACTAGCTGCTGCAGCATGGCACTCTGACTGGCTCCACTGGTCTCCTTATATCCACCAAAAAGTACGTCTAGATGCATGTAACTTGGTCATGGTGGAAGGAATAAGGATGTCCATGATTTACTACCTAGGTAACCTGTGCAAGTACACAGACTTTCTAGATCTCTGAACCTGACCCATTAACTAGAGATAGTAACACCTAACTAACACATTGTGCAGAGAGAAATACCAGGTCCTCCCACATGAGAAGCTTTTGCTACCTATATGTGTATGCATTTACATATATCTGTACTGAGTATTTCTGAAGATCAATTTCACCCTTCTGTCTTCATAACTCACAAGGTGATGTTTGAAAAAGTCAATCAGGAAAGGAAGGAAAGACACATATTTTCTTCTCCAACAAGTGAAAGCAATTAAACGTCAAATATTAACTGTTCCTGGGAGTAAATTTTTTTAATGGGTTAAAGGCTCAGCCATTATAGACCTCCAATATGTAATTTCTAAGAAAGGACCAGGTAATATATTTCTTTTAATTAAGTGGAAGATAAAATGCTAGAGCGATGTATCCCTTCAGAAAGCGCCTTTTTTATCCATTTCCAGTGGCTTCCAATTGCATCATGCCTTTTAAGAGGACCAATTTGTTTGACATCACTTTATTTTTCAACCTTCACATGTGAGAAGCATTGATTTATGATTCTGCTGATTAAAGCAATGGTGTCTGAAGCAATAATGATTTCAATTATGGAACTTCCACTACTGAGCACTATTCTGATTTTCTTTCCATTCTCACCGCATTTTTATTCACCAAAGAAGGGGGTCTGCGTAGGTGATGTAATTTTTGAAAAGCCCCTGGACTAATTTAATATCAGAAAAGAATGCATGGCAGATGGACTGATGTCCCATTTTGGATTATGGGGATGTATCGTATTTTAATATGCTCTGACAAACTCCCAAACAGCTCCCTGGTGAGCCCCTACCTGGTATCATTAGGGTTATTTAGTGCTTGGAGCCTGCTCAATCCCCATTGGAGCCACAGTGAACTCAGAGAAATGTGCACACTCCATTCACTCCACGTCTAGGGTCATGCTTTCTCTTTATGCCGGGCTGGAAGAAATGATTAAGCTCGTGTTTGGAGTTTTAGCTTGTTGAAATCAATGGAACACACTCCACCCCGCCTTTTAATCCCACAGGCCCCCATTACTCAGTGTTTCACTACTCTAAAAAAAACTAATTAAATAAATATTTTAAATATTGATAAAATAACTTTTAAGAAAGAAAGTTTTGTTTTTGCTTACAGCGTCAGTGGCATCTATCCATCGGGATGTGATCTTGTGGCTTTGGTCTTTCAGTGACAGAGAGCATCATGGTGAGGAGATGTGGCAGAGGACCAACGTGTATGGCACCTGTCAACAAAGAGCGATACGGGATCTGAGTAAGCAAACCTCCAAACGACCTAACTTCCTTCCAGTAGATCCCATCCCTTACGTGCCCCACAACTTCCCTGTAACCATATCAGCTGAAGGTCACACATACAACCTGGGCCTTTGGACGACACTCCAGATTCAACTGATAGCACAGCCCTGTCCCATGGACAAGGCAGGTAAGGAAGACACTGACACTAACCTGAAGCCACGACCAAGGAAATGCCCCCATGCATCAATGCAGCTTGTGACCTACTGGAGGGGGGTGTAATGAAGACATCCTAAGCACACCCTTGTCACTTCTTTGGCTGTCAAGCTCTTGAGACAACACATCCCAAGGAACTGAAAATTCCCCAGGAGTCTTATGAAGGAAGAAGAAAAAGACTAGGAGCCTGGCGTCAACTGGACAAGGAGCATGTCTCCCCCAAGGAGATTTCACATAGTTCCAACTACTTTGCAGTCCATCTTGTAAGAGGTACTGGAGCCAGACTGACCATCATGAACAGAGCCACATCTTGACCCGGATCAGTCATGCACACCTTCTGCCTTCTATGTAAGCCTAAACCTCATGGCAGGACGTCAAAGATGGAGTTGGGGATATCACCTCCTCGTTCATCACACATTTGTTCAATGTGTGACATTGAGCAGAGCTCCTTTTACTGCATTTCACTTTTAGGCTGTCTCTTTAATTGACCTATTGAGGATAAGTAGTTGATCTGGGCTTGTTAGGGCTTCTGGAACCTGGGATCTAACCCTAACTCCAGGAATAAAGCCAGTCACAATTTTTAAGAGTCTCACTGTAGATCCCAGACTAGTCTCAAACTACTAAAAGCTAGGCTAGCCTCAGTGTCCCAATCCTCCTGCCTCAGCCTTCCTCTGGCTTAGATTGCAGGCATACACCATTATTCCTGGCCCACCATTCACACTTATTAAAGGTGTCATCCAGTAAAGGAGTGATGTCTGGTCAGAGCAGCTACTCCTGGGTCCCAGGGAATTGTCATCACAGGTATCTGTGAATCACGGGGTGGGAGGGGGAGTCACATCTTCAGATAGTTCAAGGAGAACAAGAAACTTATAGTGCTATGTCTAGTTAAAGGTTCTCCTTTTCAGCGTTAGCCTCGCACTGACCAAATGAAGCTAGCCTCTGGAGTGCTTCCTTATGGATGAGCAAATAGCCAGACAATCTAGTTATTGGAAGGATGTCCATAGCAAGACATCACACTTTGTTATGACTCTATCAAAAATTGACAGCTTGAAGCAAGAGCTCAGTGAGTGTGACTACTTGTTTCACAAGCATGAGGACCTATAGCCTCAGTTCTGTGGGGGACAGAGAGAGAATGGATGGGGCTTGATGACTGTCAGCCTAGCCCCACATTCAGTGAGAGACCCTGTCTCAAGGGATAGAATATGATGCCAGTGTCCTACTGTGGCCTCTGCACCTGCAAACACATGTACACATACACCACACACACACACACACACACGTTAACAAAGTATTCTTAGTCTGCTGTTTGAAAAGACAGTTAAGGCTCTGTCACACACCAAGAAGCAGATGTGAGACATTGAGGATGTAAAATAAAATACAAAATCCATTTTTCACCTCCAAGAGGCTGACGTTCATGACGATATGAATTATGAAGGATTTCAGGCTTAAAGCAATTAAAAAGAAGTGCCACCTAACATTGAAACTCACTCTATCACATTTATTTTTAGGTAAGAACCTCCTTTGTTACCCTTCAAGTGAATTAGTTTGTTCCTATGCTCTGATTTGAAAGTCCATTTTAATCTGAGAACTGGTCCTGTGGCTGCCAAAGTCTGTGTAGGACACACTTCTTTAACACCTCTGAGAACAACTGGAAGGTAAAATTCCAGTTACACCCTGAGAAGGTTTTTCTTCATCAAGTCAATGCTAGAGAGTTCTTAACTAGGCACTGATATTACTAGACCATCCATGTCTTAAACCTAGTTCTTAATCTCAGTGATTCTATGCTGCTATAGTTTTTATGAGAGCTGACCAGCCAATGCTGTACCCATTAATCTTTCTGGAAAATCATCTTAATAATTTTTTTCAATTGAAGGAAGAGAAGCCCTAAGACATAAATAAAAGCATTCAAGGTCTAGTCACTGAGTTTGTAGCCTAGCACTTGAAATATTGTATCCAAAATTGCTTCTCGGAAGAAAATCATATCAGGTTAAGATTCCCTCTCATTAAACTTTATGATTGTTTATCAGATTCTTCTTTGAAATACCTCAAAGTACTTCTACTGAATTTCATTTAGGATCCCTTTTCTCCCTTACAAATCTATAATTTACCTCATCTGTGGACATTACCTGAAGGCAACGCTCTCCGATATCTACAGTATGGATAGAACTTGGAAAGAACCATTGCAGGTGGTATGCTCTACTGAGCAGACTTGAACACAAAATTTCATTCATCTTCTACCTTAACAACAGTCAATGGCAAGAGATCTCATTTCCCTCTTCATATAACATTGCCAGCCACACCTTGGCATGTAGCTCCCTATCCTTACTCTTCCTTCTACCCATCTCCATAGCAACCTTGAGGACTTCTCCCCAGGGACATTTATTCAGGCATCAGCTATATACCCTACCTGCTCTGGGTGCTGGACATTGTAGAGCATTGAAGTCTTTAGACTTGATTCATCCTGCAGATCATTCTTATGTGATCGCTGGCTTCTTTAGAAGTAAGTTTCTTAGGCAAATCTTCTCCAGGACCTTTATATAAAAGAGAGGAGGGAAAAAAGGTTTAGAGACAAGGGACTTGCCCAGGTCTACAGCTCTTCCCTGTAATGTGTGGTCCCATTTTCCCTTCTTTTTACTCTTGTAGCCATTACTTATAACAGTTCTTACCTTGGTTACCTTTCTATTGCTGTGATAAAACATCATGACAAAAAAGCAAATTGGGGAGGAAAAGTTTTATTTGGTTTACATGTCCCAGTCACAACCCATCACTGAGAGAAGTCCAAACAGGAACTCAAGGCAAGAACCCGGAGGCAGGAACTGAAGCAGAGGCTGTGGAGAAGTGCTGTGTACTGGCTTGCTGCTTTACCTTCATGTATGTATGGGCACCATGTATGTGCCTGGTGTCTGTGGATGTCAGTAGAGGGCACTGGATGCCCTGGAACTGGAGTTATAAATGGCTGAACCACCAAGTGAGTGATAGTAGTTGAACTTGGATCCTCTGCAAGAGCAACAAGTTCACTACATTGATGAGCCACCTCTCCAGCTGCTCAGCTGGCATTTTTCTGCAGCCCAGGACCACACGTTGCCTAGAGGTAACACTGCTCACAGTGAGCTAGGCCCTTCCAGTTCCATTGTCGATGAGGAAAATGCCCTGTAGACTTGCCTACAAGCCAATGTGATGGTGGAAACATTTTTCCGATTGAAGTTCCTTCTTCCATGACCCTAGCTTGTGTCAGGCTAGCAAATACCTAATTAGCACAGTTTTTTAAACTAGAATTTTACCTCAGCTTTACCTTCACCACTGATTTACTTCAGGTTAAACCTCTTTAACTCAAAATCCAAAGTCTGGACTGCGCCAAAGCCCAAAACTTTTTGAGCACTGACATGGTGCCACAAGTGGAAGATCCTACACTTAATTCCATGTGACAAGTCACAAACAAAATGCAGCTGCGGTAAATATTTGTTTTGTGTAAATTCCTAACCATCGCCAGGGACTGAATAGTAAACAAGCAATGTCTGATACAGATCCCATGGACCACTGCACAATACAGCAAATATACTCATCTGAGCACCTTGTCATCCAGAGAGTCAGGCCAGCAAGTTGCCACTACAGGTAGACCTAGAGCCCCGTGGTGTTAACTTCAGAGGTGATTTTTGTCTAAATTCAGGGTCTAAGAAATGAGAAGACATGATCTATTGCTTATGGGACAAATATTTCTTGAGCTCTCCTTCAGGCAACTTCATTTGTCACTGTGGTCTGCTTTGAAGCTCCATTTACTTTTGAGGACCAGTCCTGTAAATATCAAAACTCACACAGGATACATTCCCATGAAAACTTCTAACAGCAGTGGACACTGGTGTCCTGGGCCCCAGAATTAAGACGCAGATGCACATAACTGAGTGAGTTCAAGGGGCTGATATTATCCACTGGTGTCACTGCAGGCATTAGGGTTTGCATTTGTGCTCTGTCATGTGATTAGAACATTTAGGCTTACACAGACATTTAAAATGCTAGCTACAGTCTATATGTATTTTCCATACCCTTGTGTTCAATACCGATGTGTTCAATAATCTGAGCTGAAGCTGTAAGTGGTACCCAAACCTATTAAAGAAGAAACTAGGTTTTTCGGAGGGTTTTTTAAATGTGGTCTTCCAGGAAGCTGCCTCTGGACATAACTACAGAAAATTAACACAATAAGTAAAGCATTATAGAACAGCTATTAACTGATTACACTAATAAAAACCAAATGGGGGCCTCAAGTCTACCCCTCTGGGAAAGGAGGATAGATAAAATAAACAAGGTAAAATACAGAGTAAAGGATAATTGATTTTAAACAATAATAATGCAGTTACCTCCAACCAAGTTAAAACATAATACAGATTTCTATCTGTGTGAGAAAAGAGAGAAGGAAGTTGTTCGTATCCTTTCTCCTTAATATCTAAGTTTCATACAAATGGTGTTTCCCTAGGCTAACAAATTGGAGAAATTAAGGAGTGCTGACAAGTTTCTTAAAGGACAGGCACATGGGCACGGTGATTTAATACACCAAATTATCAGAGAAAAGCAGGATCTCCACATCCAAAAGGCTTGCCCCAGCAGCATGGGACAGCAAGTCAGGTCCAAGAAAAGCTAACAGGCAGGAGAGGGGAAGGAAAACTAACAGTTCTCCTGTGGTAGGCAGAATTTTAAGTGCAAGCCCACTACATCTCTTTCTGTTGCTTAAATCCTAGAATTCTTGAGTATATGTGGGATTGGCTCTAGGAAGAGAGGGATCATGGTGGAGAAGGTTCTCAATTTTCCATTTGTCTTCTAACATACCATCCACATACCCGCCTTCAAATCTAATGGTCCTAAGAGCAACTGTAGTAAGTACGTGCTGGGTGACATGTGTCAAACTAAATGCTTAATGGGTGTTGTCGCTAATTCTTGCATCATCTTACAATTTGTAGGTGAAGACATGCAGTCAGAGGGTGACATGGTGACATGTGCAAGGCTCCACCATCATTAGGCCTAGCCTACTCCAGGGGCATCTGCCAGCCTGCCTCAAAATCGGTACCCCAAGTTTCATCAGAAATGGTTGGTGTGGGAGTCTTTTATTTTTCTCCCTCAGTCTCTTCTCACTTATTGTTTTAACCAGTCTAAACCCATAGAACCAATTCTTTTTGCATGGCATATGCAGAACTCTGGGTTATTTTTACTTCCCACTGGCAAAAAGTCAGCAAATTCAAATGAAATGATAATTTCTATGTGAGAAAATAGTTTAGCATTTCCTTAAAATGTGAAAATATAAAATCTTATGCAAGACACTAGCTTTTCAGTTGGCAGAAAATAGCCTGGTGGTTTCACATGAAATAAAACAAGGGCAGCTCAGATCTTTACTGCCTGAGAATTAAAGGAGCATTCTACTGCCAGGGAACAATGGGTTTTTGGGCATGAAAAGAAGAATTGATGATATATGCAGGCAGTGTCTGCATACATACATAGAGAACACTCAAGTATAAAAAGGGTCACACTTATTCAATATTTGGAAAAATGGTCCAGGAGGCATCTGATGTGACAGCCAACAAACAGAAGGCTCAGGAAGGGAGATTTAAAGTTAAATGGGAGAGGGAGACCCAAACACGAGAGTTGACCACAAGCATAATGTGTTGGGGTCAGCATTCTTACTAGCGAAATGTTAGAGGCACTTCCAATAAGGAATACTTTAAATAACATGGAGGTTCTTTCCTTGAAGTTAATCAGAAAAAAAATAGAAGTTACATTTTTAGGGATTGTGGGGCTCAGAAAAATCATTGCCTATGGGTAATAATATTATCTGTCTAGATAACTCAAAAAGAATCAAAATCAGTTAATTATTTTAATAAGAAATCATTTAAATTGCACATACAGCAGGAAATGTATAAAAAAATTACTTTTCCCAGAAAACACTAATAAAATATCATAGAGAAGTGACGTGCAGAAGCTGTGAGACTGGAGAAGAAGAAACTCCAAATGTAAAGAAGGTCATGTAGGAAGATAAAGGAGAACGCAGGAGATAACTCAAAACCAGAAACCTTAGATCACCAACATTAATGTACAAATGCATCCTCACATTTTGAATTTATGGAGCCTTTTTTTTCTTGGACTTTCGAGATGCGGTTTCTCTGTGTAGCATTGGCTGTCCTGAAACTCGCTCTGTAGACCAGGCTGGTCTCCGACTCAGAGATCCACCTGTCTCTGCTTCCTGAGTGCTGGGATTAAAGGCGTGCGCCACCACTGTCTGGAGAATTCAGTGAGGTCTTAAAGAATAACACATAAGGGCACAACTCTAGGAAGCTACTCAAAGAGGAAGAGCTTACCAGATAGGGAAGGAGACTTAAAATGATGAAAACTCCAGCAACGTGACACTGATGCAAGAGGGTTTCTGGAAGTTCAAGGCCAGCCTGGGCTACTACTGAATCCAAGCCAACCTGGGCTACACTTGGAGACTGTCTTTAAAAGGATCTGCATCCTCATTCACTGTGAAATGATAAGAAGGCTTATGACTTCAGAGCACAACTCTGCACATATTCAGGATGGTGGGAGGGAAGGAGGGAGGGAGGGAGGGAGGGAGGGAGGAATAAAGGAAGGAAAGAAGGAAGGAAGACAAGAAGGAATAGAGAGGAGGAAGAATAGAAGAGATGGGGGGAAGAAGGGAAGGAGGGAACAAGGAAGGAAGGAAGGAAGGAAGGAAGGAAGGGAGGGAGGGAGGGAGGAAGGAAGGAAGGAAGGAAGGAAGGAAGGAAGGAAGGAAGGAAGGAAGGAAGGAAGAAAGGCTTTCACGCAAGAGTCTTATTATAGCAACTCATCCAGAGAAAAATGGCAAAACAAATTCTACAAGGTAACAATTACAAATAGCATGATAGGATTGGTGTGTATCCCAGAGACAAGATTCTTCCTAGAATCCTTAAGTCCCTGGTTCCAGTCCCAGCATCACAACCAAATGGCATAACTACCCAGATCAAAGAATTCCAGGACCTACATGTAAGGATATAATGGTGACATAAAACATCCTTAAAATAGTTTCATCAACATAGGCAAATATTTATTACAGCTTACAAAAAGGAAAAGCATTCACTGATTAGTGAATTATGTAGTAGAGCCTCAATCTTATTTTTTAAAAGCATGCAAATTTACTTTTACCAAAAAGAAATTAGATATGAGTGGTGCACACTTAATCCTAGCATTTGGGAGGTGGAGGCAGGAGGATTGGGAATCTGAAGGTCCCTCCCAGCTATATAGTGAGCTCAAGGCCAATTTCACTTACATGCCACCTTGTCTTAAGGAAAAACAAAAGAAAAAAGAGAAAAAAACAGATGGGAAAGGTCAGGCTGTATATACCAACTTGTTAGCAATAACTACATACTACATCACAGAGGCAGAATCACAGGTAGTGGGGTTATTTCATTATGGTTTCTATCATTTCTAAATATTATCCCCTTCTTCCAGCAACCCAGAGAAGAGTCTTGCTCCTCCTGGCTTGTCTAGAGTATCAGCAGAAGGTTGCAACCTGGAAAGGGTGCTGGAAAGGAAGAAATGGGACCATGGACCACCACAAGGATGTTTAATGCTGCGACTCTATGCCTTTCCTTCTTCTGATTTATCTTTTCCTTCTGTTGTCAGAATGTTTGCAGTCTCTAGCACCATTTTATTGGTTCCTCCTGTGAGTGACAGGCCAGAGTGTCCCAAGAATCCTTAATGTATTTTGTGTCAGGGGCCTGTGGGTCAGTAAGGTTATTAATAAACAGCGCCTCTTGTTCTAATTTCGGTCCCTCCTCTCCTCCATGCCTCCCCTGCTGTCCTGCTTTTCCTTTCGTTTCTCTTGTCTGATCCTTTTCCCCTCCTCCCTGACACAAAGCATTCGGCCTTCATTTTAGCTTAACCTTCAGCATTTTTCCCATAATGCTTTTTGGATGCTGCTGGTCCTGTTACGTTTTCATGGAGAATTTAATTTTTTCAGAAAATACTTGTTGTCCTAAATCAATTTGATGCAGCTAGTACACTCCTGTGATATTACAAGCGGGAGAGAATGAAGGGATACCCAAAGCTGTGGGAAATATGAACAAAAAGCACAGGGAGGGGTAACATTGTTTTTCTCAAGGGTTTCTCTTAGGTTAGATGCACACAAAATCAGGCAGAACTCAAAAGTCTAAGTCACCATGGATAGATATGAGGTGGCACATAGAATACAGATTTCTAGTTTAATATTTTCTCCTTAGTTGACAAGGTATAAATAACAAACTTAGTGTCATGTGTTTAAACTGTGAACTTGGCGTTGTCAGCATTACATGGATAGTCTCAGATTTGGATATATGTACATCAACTTTATCTCTCATTTAGAGATTGATTGATAACCTGAATTTATCATCATAGTAGACCCGCTTTTTCTTTTCTTTTTTTTTTTAAGTACTATTTATTTATTTATTTTGTGAGTGTGAGGTGTGAGTGGCACTCAGGCCAAGCACATGCATGGGAAGGAACAAGGGCAACGTTCAGGAGTCTCTCCTTCTGCCATGTGGAGCCTTGTTCTATTTCTTCTGACTTTATTATACAAATAGAAATTGCCTTATCACAATCACCAATCTCTCTCTCTCTCTCTCTCTCTCTCTCTCTCACACACACACACACACACACACACACACACACACATACCCTTAATGTGCTCTCAGTAAATGTAGCAATTTGAGTTGTTACTTTCTTCTTTAAAAGAAATACACAGTTGCATCTATGAGGAGAGTTCTAAGGAAGTTACATGGACCAGTTAGTTTCCCTTAACAACGATAAAACAGTGTTTTCATACAGGAAAACTATGATTCTATGTTGAATTATTCATTTTTTTCAAATTAACCCATTGTATTTTTTCAGAGTCAAGAACACATTTTTTTAAATGTGACTCTGTTTCAGCTGCTTCGGGTCCCGGCCTGGGGTCCACAGGTGGCGGGACAAGGATAAAGAGGGTGGTGAGTATCCAACTACAGTTCTTAAGGCTCCGGGGATAAAATTTCTTATGAAAACTGGCAGCCTTTTTGTTTCTCTTCGGTCTTTTTAATACGCAGCCATGTCTCTCTGTTCAGCTGAGCCTGCTGTGGTCTCGACTGAACTGAACTAAATTTATGCCACTGAAAACTCCCGTTGAAGTACCTCCAAGGCACAGTTGGTGGGAGCTGTGTGTACGTAAGCGCACAAGATCTTGGCCTGCTGAGTGTAATAGCATCTCTACCCTTGGAGATTATGGGTATGATATGGGTGAGTGTAATGGATAGGGCAGTCTGTGTACAAATTTCAAATGACTTGCTACACCCCTTTCAGATGGTTGCTGTCAAAAGCATTAGCACGACATACACACAACAACTGTGTATCATATTACCTGTGGCCTCTGCTTCCCCCAGAAAGCTCCTCCCACTGCAGCAGGTGAGTGTGTGGGGTGCGGGAAGTACCACAAAGGAGTTTCATTCTTTGAGCTCCACTGTACTAATCCAGAAATACCCAACCTGTCTAAATTCTCAAGGATGGGGGTGCAAGGAGAACTGCCTGTAAAAGATGTCTCGAGAAGACTGAAATTTCTAGCCGGATAAGGAGTCCATGTAACACACAGCTGTGACGCAAAGGGGCAAACTGTCCTGTCCTGCTGTGGACTGACTCAGGAACTCCCAGAGTCTGAGCTTCACTGTGGGTGTTTACTGTTGGTGCAGCAACGCCCACGTGATAGATGACGCTTAAAGCAGTTTTCTTCCAAGCATGGATTTTTATGTGAGTCTTCCTATGGCCTAGAAATGCGCAAAATGTAAGCGATTTGAAGGACTACAAAAGACTAGCATTCCCGTCTTTTTCATGCTAAAAATACCTAGCAATTGTTGCTCAGCCTGCTGGAGGTGCAGCCAGAGCAGAATGCAGTCTCCTTTGAATTTGGACTGGGCTTGCATGCAGGACTCTTATGGTGTCCTCAGCTGAATAGAAACACAAAAGTTTGGCCTTGGTAAAGATACTCAGTTTGGGGCACGGAATGTAGCTCAAAGTAGCAGAGTACTTGTCCAGCAAAAATTTCTGTCACAGAAAAAAAAAAAAACAACCACCACCTAGGTGACCTAATGTATGCATATACCTCTTTATTACTAGTTTTCTTTTCTGTGTGTGTGTGTGTGTGTGTGTGTGTGTGTATGTGTCCATGCACATGAGCCAAAGTACATGTGTGGAGGTCTGAAAACAACCCACGGGAGTCTGTTCTCTCCTTCCACCATGTTGGTCCCAGGGAGCAAACCGAGCTCATCAGACCTTGCAGTAAACACCATTATCTGCTGAGTCATTGCTCTGGCCCAGGATTTATTTATTTATTTTATAATATATTGACTATCTGTTAGCATTAGAGACTACAGAGGTGATTAGATTACCTGCAGCTACCACTATGGAAATTATTCATTCAAAAGTTCAGCATACTGACAGCAAGTACATTTTTTTATCTTTCAAAAGATAGTTATAAACATGACACTGTCCTCATTCTTAAGTTCCTGTCTCAACTTATCTTTATAGTAAATAATGCATGTCATGTACCAGGCACTAATATTTAGTGTTCTGTATACGTTAATTCATTTAATTATTAAAGAAACTATATAAGGTAGTTTTACCAGTATCTCCATTTTACAAATGAAGAAACTGAGTCACACACAAACTAAGATGCTCACACACATGGTGTATTGGCAAGCCTGGGATTTAAATCCCAGCAAATCTCGATTTGGAGATCATTTCTGTTAACCACGACTTTAAAGCTGACAGAATCAATATGCACTTATTTTTACCAAAGAAGTTCTGGAAACTCCAGAAATCCTGATACGCTCCAAATTTAGTTTAGTAATTGAGAAAACTATGGGGTGGGGGGGAGGATTAGTGTTAGTCAGTCTGTAAAGCAACAAAAGATGAGAGTAATAGATTCTCGAAGCTCCCAAAAAATCCAAAGCAAACTGAAATTTAATGGGGATAAACATGAAACGTTCTTAAAAGCATTAAATCCCCTGTACATGCCCAGGATGATTGGCAGCTGACTCCGGGATGCAGGAGCTCTTCCTCGTGAGGGGCTCTGTTTAAAGCCAGTAACAGGACACTGCCTGTGACAGTCACAGAAGTTCTGAGTATTTTGTTTGTTTCAAGAGATCTCTTAAGGTACTCTGGCAAACCAGGCCAACACAAGGAAGCCACAGGCCTAGTCCTGAGGAGATAGACACAGTAAAACAAAAGCAGTGGTTTTGAGGGGCGGTTTCATTATCTTTAAGTACCAAAAACTTTTCTCCTCGGGCAAAGCAACTCTGAATGCCTCTGAGGCCTGAATCCAACTCATGTGAGTTCTGCTCCCATACACAATCAAAGTCATCAGAAAACAACTTCCCTAAGAATGGTGGCTGTCGGACAGTAAGCCTTCCCCTCTGTCTTTCTAGTGCTGTGGCCCAGGCCTTCACGCATGTATGTTACCTGCTTAGAAGTTGCAATTCACAAACTCTCCCTTCATTTCCTTGAGCAGCTGTCTATCTCCAGAAGTCTGGCTTTGGCAGGAACCTGAAGCAACATTCCCCCAAGCCTCGACCCACAGGTAGGTGTCCACACTTTCTTGATTCCGTTATAGAACCTTAAATTCAAAGAAAAAATTATGTAAAGATTGTCTGTCTTACAGGTAAAGGAGTATCAGCATGCCAATTCCCCATGTAGAGATAGAGGTGCTGTCTCTAGGGTCACATGGAATTGCTCCTCATATCAGAGTAGGTCCTTTGACAGGATCTTCCTTAGCCTCACTACACAGCAACCTGGTCCTAACCTTGTTCTAGGAAATTGGTCTGGTCCCCAGTGGCCACCCTGTCATTTAGCTGAGAGCTTACTATCATCTCTAAGTTAATTTGGAAGCTAATTGTGAAGGTCAGGGGCTCTGACACTGCAGACAATGGTAAATTGGGGAGATAAGGCAGGATCGGAAAAATCCAACCTGGAAGCAGTTGGGGTTTTATAAGCAGTTCCGTTAAAGTGTGAAGGGCTGGAGTGGCATTGTCTCTTCCTGCTGTGGGTGTCCCTAGATGATGGGAACAAAATGCCTCTAAGTATCCTCATCACAGGGTCAATCTAAGTTCTTAATCTCGGGATATATATATATATATATATATATATATATATATATATATATGCGTGTGTGTGTGTGTCCATGTGAGGATGTGTGTGCAAGTGCCCGCAGAGGCCAAAGGCATTGGAGACCAGACCTGGAACTGGAGTTGCCGGTAATTGTGAGCCACTGCTCCACACAGGCGCTAGGGTCCCTGACAGGCCAAAAAGCTCTCTTTGTTGCTGAACTTTCTCTCCAGGTACTCTTCTGACTATTTTAGAAGGCTGAGGAGGAAGTCCAGCAGAAAAAAAAATGCCTAGCAAGCTTGGCCATCTAACTTCCATTCCCATGTAAAATGCAGGGAGTGCACATCTGTGATCCAAGTACTCTTACAGGGAGACCGGCAGCAGAGGCAACAGAACCACCTAGCCAGTGATACCCAAATGGAGTACAGAAACAAGAGAGATCCTGGTTCAGTGAGGTAGAAAGTGAGAACCTAACCCAGAAGTTTTTCTCTAACTTCCCCATGCACCCTGTGATCCCCCCTCTTACACACACACACACACACACACACACACACACACACACACACACACACACACACACATACACATACACACCACATTATTTGAGACAGTCACACTGTGTAGTAACGGTTAGCCTGGAACTTGCTCGGTAGCTGAGACAAGCTGTGAAGTGACAGATCAGCCTGCTTCTGCCTCCTGAATGCTGGGATTGACGGTGTGTGCCACAAGGCCTGGAACACAAAATAAATGTTTACAATAACAGATAAGCTGCTGATTTTGAGAGAGAGAGAGAGAGAGAGAGAGAGAGAGAGAGAGAGAGAGAGAGAGAGAGAGAGAGAGAGAGAGAGAGAGAGAGAGAGAGCTTTAAAGAAAAGAACCCAGCCCTTCCCTGTGGTTATGTCTACTGGTGGCATTTAGTGTGGTCTGGCTTAAAATCGTGCACACATGCGTTTTGACCACAGTGAAACTGTGTCTGTATCCTCAACCAAATGTAGCAAACTTGCTCTCCTGGGATGGATACCTCTCATTCTTGATGCTTCTTCACCTCTATGAACATTTCATCAAACAAGATCAAGTCACTAGCCTCAGGATTACTCTAAGGAAAGCTAAGGACCTTCAAACAATTTTGAAATTACCAATGTTCTGGAAAATAAGTAGATTGTGTCTTCTGAAGAGAGAGGAACCTGCATCTCAATCTCATATAAACTTTTGTCAGCTTCAGGGTTTAGATCAAATGTTCTAGACAATTCTATTTTGATAACTGCATTTGCTACGAACATTGGTGTTCACTTTCAGTCTGCGCATTGGGAGGCAGAGGCAGACAGACCTCTGTGAGTTTAAAGTCTACATAGCAAGTTCCAGGCCAGCCAGTGCCACATAATGAGACCTTGTCTCAATAATGATAATAATAATTAATAAATTAATCAAATTTCTGTATCTGCCACCACCTGTTTCTAAGCACACTCTCATTGGCACCATTTTCATGGTGATAACCTACCTACCCTTGGCCAAAAAACAAAGTTAAATCCAAGTGTTGTAGTAATGAAAAATGGCAGGAAACTGTTACTTCTAATTTCTTTTGCAAAGATCGTTTTTGAGGAGCATCAAGTCAGAAAGGCCACACCCTGACAGAATACTCACAGTCAGACTCTGCTTGAGTGATGAAAACTCATGTCTTCACCGCAGGGGAACTCCATGTAGACTCCCCTACCTGGAAGACAAAGTTCTGTATGCTGCTTGCTGGTCTCAGGCAAGTGACAACAAGGTCTTCTACCTGTTTTTCTCTGGCTAAGGCACACAGGTCAAGAGGGAAGTCAACATTAGGCTGAAATTCCTGTCATTTATACTCTCCAGCTTGTGGACCAGAGCCAAAGGGCCCTGGGCTACAAAGTGTAAACAGATCTCTGTGGCCTCCTAATCTAGGTAATTGGTCTCAAATGCTGTTACCCCTTTCCAGATAGAAGCTTTGCCTGCTTTTTAAGGAATCTGGAACTTTTCTCAATTGGCAGAGGACACTTTGACGTGTTCATTCAGTCTTTTCATCAACACTAAGGTCCCTGGAAGAGGACCAGCAGGCAGAGACATGGAGGTGTGGCACCCTCTTTGCAGAGTTCCACCTGATTTTCTTAGGGTCAACCCCTCTCACTTGGTCTCCCATCCTAGTGGGTGGAAGTGTGTTTAATCTACATGAACACTTTGGGGCTGAGCTGTGCAGACAGAACACTACCTGCAAGACAACAGGGAGGTTTCCAAGCAAGACTGAACTTCAGCCCAGCATAATGTAATTGTTACTAGTATGAACCATCATAATGTTGGCCCAAACCAGTTGTTCTGTGACACCATTTTCAGGTTAAAATTGTGCCACTCCCATTATATGAGGAAAACAGGGAGGTGTTTTGGAAAAAGACTAGGAAGGACTCTTTAGTGATTTAGACTGTCTCCTGGAGGGTAGGCTACACAACTCCTCTGAGCCCTCTACCAAGCAGAGATAATTATATACACCTTGCAAAGTTAGCGTGGCATTAAAAGAGATAAAGGATATGGGACATAAGAAACATAAGGACACTTCCTATACTACTATACAATAAAAGCATGTCATATAGCAGATTTCTTTTTTTTAATTTATTTATTATGAATACAACACCCTGCCTCCATGTACACATCAGAAGAGGGCACTAGATCTCATTACAGATGGTTGTGAGCCACCATGTGGTTGCTGGGAATTGAACTCATGACCTCTGGAAGAGCAGTCAGTGCTCTTAACCTCTGAGCCATCTCTCCAGCCCTATAGCAGATTTCTTAGACCCCCTTTGTGCTGCAATATATGCAGTGCAGGGGACAAAATTTCTTTACACTGGGAAATTTTTAGTTTAGAATTCAACAGAAAAAAAGTAAAAAAAAAAATGTGCAATTTTCTTTGTGAGTCTTTCAAGGCAGTGACAAAAATCTCAAAGTGCCTTTCATTTTTTCCTTCCTTCCTTCCTTCCTTTTTTCTTTCTTTTTCTTTTCCTCTCAGCCCTTCCTTCTTGCTTCTTCAAAACTTCCCTAGTCACATTTTTCTGCAGAGTATCTCCAGAGTTCCCATTAACCACTGCTTGGATGGAGACTGCTCTTTCTTGTTTTTTGATCGTTGCTTCCAAGTCAATGTCTTGCCAAGACCTTTTCTTTAAATTCCATTCTATTTCCCAATCCCTCCTCTCCCTCCCTCTCTCTCCCTTCCTATATCTAATCCAGCTTGCCATATGGAAGATCAGTGACATTGCATGGGAGGACTGAGCTGTCCCTTCCTTCTGACCTGTGGTATCAGAAGATGAGACAAGGCTCTTTTTTTTCCTGGGAAATGCTGTCAGTGCTTCTTGTTGCCTTTAGTTATCCAGAAAGGGGATGTTCACTCCCATGCATAGTCTATAGCAATTCATTTCGCCAACAACATAATTGCATTTTCTCTTGACAAGCAGTCCAGCGTTAGACATACTTGACATAAGCACTGAGAGACAAAATGAGACATGCTGGATCAGGTCATTTTTATAAGCAGTGTGACCTTGAGCAACTTGTATGGCATCCCTGTGCTTCATCACCTTCACCTGAAGAGTGGAAATTGTAATGTTTTCCTGGCATCTATCTGTCTGGATGTGCAGCTTAGCACAAGGCCTGGGCTGATTAAGTGTCCTTGAGATGTTAGCTGATGATTTTTCATCCATGTTCTTGCTGAAAAGTGTTCAGTGAACTGGAGGTTTTGCTCTATGGCATAATGACCACCTAGTATGTTCAAAGTCCTGGGTTCAAGCCCTGGTATCTCAGAAACAAAAATGACAAATGTATTCACCAACACAAAGACTACGACAACTTCCTCTCCTGTTGTTCCTCTTTGGCTGCTGCACACACATCACTGGAAGTTCTCTTCATATAACGTTCTTCTCTTCATCTCCACATGAGTTTCAAGAAAGAAAAAGGTAGGACAAAGACATTCCGCAAACATCTTCCAGTTCTATCTAGCCTAATCTAACTTCTAGTCGTCATTGGCTAAAGTGACCTCAAAGTTTCATCATGAACCCAGACAGGAACTGAAGCTTACCCCATGTCAGTAAGTCCAGGTGTGGGTGTTTCCAAGCTTCTTTGAATATTAATGATCTGCTTTCAAATGCCAATAAGCTAAAGTTTTGTGGTTTCACCCGGGTGCCAACTGAGATGTGATAAGTTAGTCTGACTCTTACTAGAGTTTGTCATTTGAATGAACTCACATTTCATGAAGCTAACCCTTATGTTTAGAGCATACCTGCCTGCTATCTTTACCTCTACTGACGTGAGAGGTGCTTTATGTAAACAAACTATAGTGTAGAGAATGCTTGCATCCCCTTGTCTCAATAGTAAATATAGTATCAATTTTGCTATTAAGAAAATGTGTCTTATAGCAAGTGCATACTCCACTAGTAACCACTACTGCTAAATATCTTTCTATATTTACAATTGCATTCATTTGTCATGACATTCCAAGTTGACTACATGATGACTTGGAATTTACCTATTTCTCCCAACCTTTAAAGTTCTACAGTGCATTACTGCTTAACCCAGGTTCTGTTAAACTGTGACTTTAAGATCGGACTTGTAGAAGTTAATCTTTCTTTATCTTTCACATCTTCTTCCCCTAGAGAGCAGAAGCCCAGACTGTAGGTTGCCTAATTTCCTCCAATTACATGCTAGAGGTTTGGGAAGATTGAAAGGTAAATTTTTTTGCATCCAAATGGTAGGTTCACTATCCCTGGTTAATGTGCTTCTGCACATACATGATACTGACCATTCGACAAAAAGGACTTGTGCCATGAAACGGTGAGCAGGAGTGAGCTTGGAGGAAAATCCGCCTCTTCTATCTATAGATGGAGGAGAAGCATACTTCCAAGTTTTGCTGTATCATAAGACAAAATAATCTTAAATAACATATGTGAAGCTCAATACATAAAAGAGCTCTGGAACCACTATTTTCCTAAGACTGCAAGTTTGACTCTGGAAGTTAAATGAAAGTTTTGCTGTTACATTACACTGAACATCTATTTCTTTATTTTGTGAAAGTTATTCCAGGATAGTTCTTTTCTTAAGAAATGTACACTAAATGAAGATCCCGGCCAGCAAAATACTACTGGTACCTTTTGAGAAGCTGACTATATTTCATACTATTTAAAAATTAAAATCTGAAAACATGAAAGTCATGGGTTCTGTCTTCTTCTAATCTATGGTCCCCAAACTACTGTTCATAAAAATAAACTTTACAATGTCTTTGAGGATCCCAAAGAACTCGAGTCAAGATTTTTTTTGGCTCCAAAAGAAAGCAGTTTTGATATTCAGGAATTTGGCCTCTCTTAGTCAATCCCCAGAAGAGAAAAAAAAATCAGCTAATCTTAGCAAGACAGTGAACTGAAGGGATTTGGTCTTCTAACTTGATCCTTGGTCATGTTTTAAAATACGATCAAAACAGTGAAGACTGGGAAGACATTGAAAATCTCCAAAATAGCTCGAAATAGAAAAGTCGAGTTTCTCTTTAAAGAACTTTTCTGTGTCCAAATTAGACACCAGCTAGGATGTTGGTGGAGAATAGTTTCAAGGTTTCTTCTGCCATTGCCTTCTGACTGGCAATCAAAACGCATGCACTTAGCACAACGACTGGGCTACCAGATCATTTGCCACAGGACTGAATGTCAGGGTTTTGCTGGTCAAGTACTCCAGGTGTGACTCTGGAGAGCAAACCAGCCGAAAGCAGACATAGCTAACAGACCTGGGCAAAGGATCCGCGCAGCATACAAGCCACATGCACTGCCACGAATGCACAAAACTGACTGGACTCTGCTCTAGGTCCTTGATAATGCAAGCATATTGTGAGCTCTGGAAGAATTTTAATCTACACGGTTTGAAAATCGAGGCCTTTTAAATATGCTGCATACAATGTGTGATGGTCATCGCTTAGACGCTGCTCCATTATCCTTCTCCATTTGGAATGAATGAGGCTAATTAATTTCAGGCCATACTTGATGAGGTCAGCACCATACGAGGGGTGCGTGCTAGACATTGCTAATCTCTTTCAGCTGAGAGTGATGAATTAAAGATGAAGCATGCCTTTGCAGGCCTAATTTAGAATGTATATCAAAAAAAAAACTACAGCAAATAATACTATCCCCTACAACAAAGGAAAACTTGTTCTCTCAGGCTCCGGGACTTGGGTTGGTTTTAAAGACATTTTCGGTCCTCTTTGGACTTCCAGCTGTGGATGGGTGAAGCATCTCTAGAAAATCAAGCCACCTCTCACACACAGCCATGGAGACAAAAGGTGGGATTAAAGGGAAGAAAGAAAGAAAATAAAAACAAAATACAACAATCAGGTTTTGATCCTTTGTGTATTAAAATTCTACCTACATATGAGGCACAGCCTCCCTGCCCCCCTTTTTTTCCAGAATTATCAGACTAACAAAGATTTCAAATTAGAATACCTGTATTCAAGTCCTGGCCACCCAGCCCTGATGGGATGTTTCAAGTAATGCACTAAATGAGGCAGCCTGGTTTTGTGTGTGTGTGTGTGTGTGTGTGTGTGTGTGTGTGTGTGTACATGTATTATTGTTTTTTGTTTTGTTTTGTTTTGTTTTGTTTTTTAAGCAGATATCCTAATGAGGCTTATTAGGTTTTTCCATGTCCTAATTTTGAAAGCCAAAATAGATTGACCAGGTAGATAATGCCATACCTTTTATTAAGCCAAGAAAGAAAGTGTAATACAGATGCCTCCAGGCCAAAATGTTCTTACGAAAGTTAATGCTAAGCCAACTTCTGGAACTGTGAAAAGGAGGAGCTTCCTTCTAAACACTGAAGAGAAGAAAGAATTAGTCATGATTTCTCAAAGGTGGCTATTACAAGTCCCTAAAGGGAGTAAGGAAGGAATTGTAGCTCAGAGATTGGCAAGAAAAAAGAGGTGTCTGGGCATATCTTGAATGAGAATCACTGACAGGTTATTCCAGCGCTTGGGGTTTCTAACTGGTGGCCAGGCCAGCTCCTGACTTTAGATCCCAGTAGCTCTCATTAGGACAAGCCGCTTCAAATTACATCTAATCTACACGATGAATCAATCTTTCATCCCTTTAATTGCTTCTGAAAATATTTATATTTCTTAATAATGCACATTTTGTCTTGTAACTTCTGATTAAACCCAGACGGGCGTTCCCAAAGCAGGCAATGGCCAAGCAAAGACAATTTGGGACAGGAAAGGGAAGATTTGCAAGACAGGCTTTTCTTGCTGGGAAACTATCAAAATCGAGCTGAAATAAACAACAATTGGGCAGAATGTTGTTGCAATCTAATAGAAATTAGATTGTTTATTTTTAGACACAGGATCTCATGTAGCCCAGGCTAGTTGGGGCTTGCTATGTACTTGAGGATGACCCTGACCTGCTGACCTGTCTGTCCCCACCTCCTTAGGAAGGGGATTGCAGATAGGTTGTACCATGCCTTTCTTATAAAGCTTTCCTACTGTATGATTCTTTATCAAAGTTCCAGCTATCCAGCTGGTTAGCTTTGTTAAGTTTCACAACAGATGATTGTGAGAGAGACTCAGAAAAATTTCCACATTAAAATCCAGTAACAACTCACCCAAAGTATCACATCATACAAACAAAACAGCTGGGAGATGGTGGTGCATGCCTTTAATTGAAGTACTCAGGAGGCAGAGGCAGGTGGTTCTCTGTGAGTTCGTGGTCAGCCTGGTCTACAGAGTGAGTTCCAGGACACCCAGGACTGTTTCTCAGAGAAATCCCATGTCTCAAAATCCAAAAAATAAACAAGCAAAACAACAACAACAAACAGTTATAATACATAAATATCCAGAGGGCCAGAATTACTGGTTGAACAAGAAGCATAAGTGGGGGGTGATGTTGTCAGAATGGTATTGATTCATGGTTTGGGGACCAAGAAAAAAAGGGGCTCCATCTCAGTGTTGTCACCAATTAGCTGAGTTACTTGCCCATGCCTCTACAGACCCTCGAGTCTTCTTAATCCTGTCTGAAAACCAAAAAATCAAAGATTTGCCTCTCAATTTTAACTTGAATGATGTTTTAAACCACCTTCCCTACTTGAAGTACAGTCATCCCACCCTAGCAGAGAGTTCAAACAACTGAAATTCAGAGTGTAATTTTAATATAATAAAACCTGTTGCCTCTGTTCAGGAGGCCCAGGGTGGAGAATCATGAATTTAAGGCCAGTCTGAACATTAAAATCAAGCCAGACAGACAGGAAGAGGGAAAAGAGAGAGAAGCAAGAGAGGGAGGGCGGGAGGGAGGGAGGGAGGGAGGGAGGGAGGGAGGGAGGGAGGGAGGGAGGGAGGGAGGGGGAGGGAGGGAAGACATTGTGCCTTCACCAAAACCTACATCATCTTTATGTTTATTTTCTAAACTATATATATTTAGCTTATATATACATAATATGGTATAACCATAAACAGAGCATTTGCATTGTATTAAGCATCATGAGGAATTTGGAGATGATCTCAAACCAGCAGAGGCTGTGTGTAAATTGCAGACAAATACCATGCTATTTTGAGAAGAGACCCGAGCCTACATGGTGTTGGTCCAGCCCTGCGAGGTATTACAAGATGACTACTCTAGACATAGAGACAAAGAAAATAAAATAATTTCTTGTAGTGTTGAACATTCTTTTTGACAGTCTCTAGAATGGAGAAGCTATCCCTCTTGCCTAGCCATGAATGTGTCATAGCCACTCAACTCAGACATGGCAATTGCTTTTTGGTTCCTCTTCTCATTCTCAAGAGTGAGAAAAGTATTCCCAAGCATCATAGTGTGGTACCTTGAATCTAATCATTCCATTTTCCAGAGGAGGACAATAAAGGCCAGCAGAATGGAGGTCATATATTTTGTAACTGGCAAAACCAATGTTTACAGCAAAACTGGATAAAACTGAATTACAGGACTCAGGGCTGGGCAATAAGCTCAGGGTACATAGCTTTCTCTGAGTTCGTGAGGCCCTAGGGTTTGGTCACAAGCACTGCAAGTTATATAAACAAATAGTAGGCAAATACTGAGAAAGCAGCCCATGAACTACTCTGCACTGCCTCAGAATCTGAAATGTTTTCTTATTCAGAAAATAAGTGAGATACCTTGGACCCATGCAGTGTAATTCAAAGCTTCTTGAAATTAAATGCTGAGACCTAGAATTAGCTACCCTCATCATTGGCTTTGCAGTCAAATTTGCTGAGTGTCCCCAATTTACCACCAATGAGAGTTTCAGAAAGGTCTCTAAAATCCAGAAACCTCCTTTCCTTTTCTTGGGTTATTGAAATAATAGCAGTATCTATTGAAGAGAATTGTACAGAGACTATGTAGCAGGTTAGTGTTCACATTCTGTTACGTATTATAAGTCAGCTGCAATTAGCATTGTCACCATCTTTTAATCTCTATTTACAGAATGACTCAGATCGAAAGAAAAAAATCCCCAATAACAACTAAAAAAAAAAAAAGCAACATAGTTTCCAAGTCTCTGCTCCTACCCCTGACAACCCAGTCTGGGTTTACTCATCAGCAAAATGGGAATTCACAAAATACCTGCTTGAACAGAATTCCAATAGAAATCAAATGAATCCTGCATGTGAAGGCACTCTGTAAATAGCAAGAACACTACAAAACACAACAGTTGGTACTTTTATTAAGGCATAATGAGCCCAAGGTTGGAAAGACACTAGATGCTGAGAGTTGGTTAATAAATAATATAAGGAGATAATGACTTTTGTCTTGCTTCTCAAATAAATCACCTTCAAAACGAGATATGAAGGTTGGAAGGGGTGGTTCAGGTCTTTAATTGCAGCATTGGGGGAAAAGAGACTGGAGGCTCTCTGAGTTCTAGGCCAGCCAGAGCCAGTGA